ACACACACACACACACACACACACACACACACACACACACACACACAAAAACAAAACAAAACAACAACAACAACAAAACCGTAAAGTCTCTATTTCCAATGGCATTCTTCACCAGCAGGCTTCTCTTCACATAAGAAAATCCACCAGTCATGGTTTTAAAATGGACTCTCTTGTTCAAGGCATTTTTTTCCAGCCATTTTACATAAGCTATTGCAAAATCCATGTCCTTGGACATGCTGCTTGGAGCCTTCCCACCAGTGACAAGCTCTTCCTCAATTCACATTCCTTTACTGCTTGTGTTTATCCACACTCCATCAAATAATTGCGACATTTCAAAGAAGGGAGAAATCTGTCCATCCAGATCAAACAGAAACCTGGGGTGTCTGTCTGTCTGTCTGTCTGTCTAAATCACACTGCTACTTGCAATATAACTCTACTCAAAGTGGTTCAAGAAAGGTTGGTGTACCTATTAAAATATTTTATGCTGAGATTAAATATCTTCCAGCTTTTCCAACTTGCTTGGGATGACTTCCTATGTTTCTGTATCACTAGTTACCTCCTGAAAGCAGCATCAAGTACTTTACTCCTCAGAGATTTGTCAGTCAGCAGCTTCAGCAGAAACATTATTTCAAAGCCCTATACCCTGTCAGAGGTTTTCTTCCAGACCACAAATTCTGTCATATAATTCCACTGTCAGAATATGCTCCTACAGAGATGAGGCAAGTACCTTCAAAGGAGTAACACTCAATTCCATCTCTCTAGATACGTGATCTATATTAACACAACTGAAGAGTACACTGGAGTACGGAACAATCATCGTCCACTGTTAATTTGACTGGCAGGCATGGCGAACGAAAGCCACTCTTCTTTTTCACGCATGCTATATTGATAAGCTCTGCCAAACTTAGCTTGAATAAATGAAGTCAGTCTAACCTAGGACAAGATTTTTCATTTGCTTCCGTAGAAACACACCTGGTACACTTTTGGCTATCGTTTCAATTTATTAGTAGATATTCACTCACTCCTCTGCTTACTGGCACACCAGGAAAGCATAGCAGCAGCACTGTAATGTAAACACTTGAACCAAACTAGACTAGGTCAAGGGGACAGAGTGCTTGCAACCTGCTATCAAAGATCTCTTCACAGGCCAAAATTGGTGATTTAGTTAAAAAAATATATATTTTTGCAACAATTCATACTTTATTGAGTCCCTAAATACTTCCATAACATTCTCCTGATCCTTACTCTAATATGAAAATGACATGTATGAAACATTTTTCCTTAGTGATGTCTTATTAGTCTCCCATAGCCTACACTTCTTGCTAAATAATAATAATCATAGTGAACTTAATCTCTTATATTTATGAACATAATTTAGAAAAACAGCCAGAATCAATGTGAAGACTGTTCCTACATCACAAAGACATAGTTTGCTTTCTGGTTTTTGAAATTGGTATTGTATTTGCTACCTTTTGTTTTCTGGATCAAGAGTAGTGAAAGAATCCCAACAGCAAATTCCCTGACTGGAATAAAATTTATGGAGTGTCATCTCCTATCTGAGTATGTCTTCTATATGTTTTAAATTTGAAATTTAAAGTCTCACAATGAAAATAAAAATGTACCTTATATAACAATTACAGAATTTCCCTTCTTCTCTTCTGGACAGCATTTCCCTAAATATGTTCTGAGTTATGCTCATGCCCTTTCCTGCTCAGCCCTCCCAAAAAAAAAAACAAGTTTAGACTGAAGTCTCCAAGGAAATTTCTCTGTTGGAATTGACAATACATGTAGCATTTCAAAAGTTTCAAGTCACCTGAACTAAAGCTTCTTTTACTTATTTAACACCAAATCTCCTTTTTGACCATGTTTGTCATCTTTGCACACCTTTAATTCATACCCTAGTGTAGACAGTTTGGCAATGCTACTTTCCTTCATCTCTTTTTCTGTTCTTTAGTCATTCCCCAACTCCACCAGACAGGGCTGTCCTGCCTACTTCATTTTTCTCTATTAGTTGACTTTCAGCCTCACAGAATGATGTCTCCAAATGCATCTGTAAACTCTAAAGACACAGAAGCATTTCTGACATATGCGCGTGCGGTATGCACCCAGTTAGAGTTGAAGGTCCTTGAAACTCTGAGCTATTTATTATTCCCTACACTATTTGGCACCATATTCAGTATACGGGTCACTCATTGGGTATTGACCGTAGAAACAACACAATTCATCTATGCAGAGTTATTTATCACCCTGTTCCTCTTTTGCTTTTTCGAAATAATCCCAATGCTTTTAACCTTTTCTCAGAAGTACAACTTTCTAACCTTTTCATTCTTTTTTTCCTTCTCTTTTGTACTCTCCAGACTGCTTACTGTTCTCATTAAGCTCCTGTACCTCAGAAACTGAATAATACCTTTAGTTGCTTTGTTTTGCTCTGTTACTTTAAGGAAGTTAGGAGTAGTCCTAAGACTGCACGTCTGCCTTAAGTTTGAAATAAAGTTAAATCTCTCTTCACCTGGAAATTCTAAGCACAACTGGTTTTTAGAATATTTTCCTACTTTCTAGCACAAACTGTATTATTATCGAATCATTCCAAGTATGATTTTTTATAAGTACATAAATTTTATAAGAATATAACCTACACCTAAAAATGATAGACAATGATATTCTTGTGCTGTCACCATGAATACCTCAAGCACAAAACCTCGAAGATTTATAAGTCAGTACAGAGGCAGCAGGAGGGGGTCAGGGGACAGGTTTTGAATGAAGCTTCACGATTTACTGCTTGTAGAAACTGGGTCATCCCTTTGTAGCTGGGCACCAGGACATGCCTATAATGCTAGCTCTTAGAGGCTGAAGCGGTAGAATCATGAGTTCCAGGCCAGCCTGGGCTAACTGTTGAGACCCTCCATCAATAGTCCAAAGACAGGTCTATTCTTTACACAAGGACACAAGGAGGACATCGAGACACTGACTAGAGATTTCTACCATCGATTCACTAAAGAGCATGATAATAGAAAACTTTAGTAGAATTTTAAAGACATAGGGACATTGTACCTTTGAAGAATGTAATGAAGTCAAGCCTATAAGCCTACCCTTTCATACACATTTCCCAGGAATTCCACCTTCAGGAATCTATAGAGTAATATGAATACTTAGAGGTTAGACTACATACCCAACACTCATCTGCATTGTCTGTACATGGCAAAATGCTCAATGACACCCATATGAATATGCCAAAGAGCCATCTGCCCATAAGCCATAAAAACTGGTTAGACATGCTGGTGCCCTGACCTTGAGCTTCACGTTAGAAAGCAAAGAGATAAATATTTGCTATTTGGAGCACCCCACTGGTAGTTTTTCTGTTACAGCACCCCTCATGTACTGTTCCCTTCTAAGTCACAACTCTGTCTTAATCTTCTTACAACTCCCCCATCATTAACAGCTTTTCCTTTTGTTTCTTCTGTATCCTTCCTTATTGTTCCAGTTTCTATACTTTGAAGTGTTTCTAGGCCTAATTTCAGGATCACTTTCCACACCTCCCAGCATTAAGTCCTTCCATGATCATATCTAAGACAATGGCTCAAAAACCAATTTAGAAATGTACTTTCAGCTAAGTCCTGTAGAGAGAGTCTGTATTATATTCTCATAAAATTCCCAAAGTTGTTAAGATGGGAACACTGGATTACTGGAAAGAAGCCAGTACAATGACACAAAGACACACCTGTAGCCTACATCAAGGTGACAATAATGAATATAATAAGAAAGGCTGACGCTCAATCATGATTTGAAGATGACTTTGGTAAGACTCTGAGTAGCTTTGGATGGGCTATGAATGAATATGCAAAGTACGGTGGCAAAGTTGAGACCTAAGACCTGAGTAGCAAGAGCCATTATGAAATGGAGATGGCTCTAGGGACAGTATTCACAGGAATTATGAACTGACTCAAGTCAGAAAGTCTTTCGAGCCAGGCATTTTGGATACACCTATGACCCCAGTACCTTTGTGGTAAAAGTGAGATAGAGATCTCAAAGCCAGCCTGGGCTACACTACAAACTCTCTCCCAACAAACAGTTCAAGAGGGAGAGTTGAATCAGCTAGGCAGAATAAAATGAGTACTAAGAGCTGACAAGTATGTCCTGCCATGAGGTGAGGATATCCTTGGTGAGTTTGTCCAGGATTAATTCAGTGACATGTAACAAAAAATTGCATGGATCCAGTTAAAAAAGGAATATGTGAATGAGGAAGGTATTTTTATCAGTGCATCCCTATGATCATCAAGAGTTTGGGCTAATTTTAAAAAAGAAGATTTTCTGTGTATTATCAGGTTTGTGTGTGGAGGTTGGTGTGTATATATATATATACACGTGTGTGTGTGTGTGTGTGTGTGTGTGTGTGTGTGTGTGTGTACGTATGTTGTTTGTGTATGTGCTTACGCTCGCATGCATAACCAAGCATCGCTGGATTGGGGGGGGGGAGGGTGCTTGGGACAGGGTTTCCTGACTGTCCTGGAATGCATTCAGTACACCAAACTAGCTTCAAACTCAGACATCCACCTGCCTCTGCCTCCTGAGTGCTGTGCTTAAAAGTGTGTGCCACCACTGCCTGGAGAATTTTTGTTCTGGGGGTGGGGGTAATAAAATGAAGGCATTAAATGATACTTTGGTTTTTCCTCATAGTGTAAAGGTCTCTTTTAAAATATTAAGTGATACAAATAATAATCCCTTGGTGGTCAGGCAGTGAAATCACTATTTTTAGCAAATAATTAATCAAGAGCAGAAATTAAGAGTATTTTCAATGAGACCTTGAAAAGGCTATACTCAACTTTTAAACCTCTTGTATCTTTTGTGTCTTTTGTATCTTTCTTTAGCAGGAATTATAACCAGGAATTTAAATCTAGATTTCTGTAACAGTGAAATTTTGACATAAGAATACCTTTCCATTTTCTAAAGACCTAGCAATATTAGATATGTATAACACAGAAGTTAACAGGAAACCTAAAGTCATCATCAAAAATTATGCAAGCCTTTACAAACATAACAAGCTATTTCACGTTTATAAAGGAAACTGTGGTTGTTAAGGCTTTTATACAATACCTGTTTCTTCAGTTCACTCCAGTTCAGTTCTCTGGCCATCAATTCAACAATCCTGGGCAGGGCTTCCTCTGCAGCCTGGACATTGAGGAATGCCAGGCGGGTGCGACGTGAAATCATGTCAACTGCGGTGCAGGCATATTCCTTAATCCCATATTTCACCTAAGTTACAGAAAACATGCTGGTTTGGATCTTTCTTCTAAAATAATAAAGCTTCACATTTGAAAAGTAAACCTCTGAGAGAAGGTGATGTTTTTCCCTAGCATGTGCGGGTCTCCGTCAGACACAGGCACACTTGTGGCATGGTACAAACCCCCCCTCTGCTTGCTGCAGTAGGCTGGAAAATGGAGTGGGCTGGGGAAGACTGAATGTCACCTTACAGAACAGTACGAGGTGTAGACATGCAAGCTGCGTGGCTTCTCACCATCCACAGGAATCACTTCTCTTTGCTAATGAATAATGGAAACACTCATTTGCATGCCTGACTGTGCAGAGGACTGGGACAGAAAAGTTGTGGTTTCAGCTCTTTAGGCTGTAAAGTTTTTCCTGCCTCAGAGAACAACAAATGAAGTTTACTGGACACTAGTTATTTAAGGCACAACGGAACCACAGCGTGGCGTCTGGTTTCACAGTGCCAGAAAATAATTTGAGAAATAAGACAAATCCCTGAGAAATTATCAGAGCTCGAGGAGGGCCTGGAACCAGTCCAGATAGAAGCGATATGAAATTAAAAGATCTACAAATTCTAAGACAAACCAAATTTTCAGACATGTGGTGCTTCCCTGAACAAACTCTGGAATTCACACTCATAATGACACTATTACCATTGTCAACATCAGAATTCAATATCTGTGAAAGCCCAAAACTTCACTCTAGACTTGTGGCTGTCCTGTATGCATTGAAACTTTGCAGCACATAACTGGTAAAGGTAGGCAGAGCACCAGCATACAGGAAGTCCCTTGACCACTACCTACCTCTGCTTCAATGTATGGAAATTCTGACACAAGACGCACACCAACGACAGGCCATCGTTTTCCAGTCACACTTGCCATTTTGGCCACCTCGAAAGCCTTGTCACCATAGGTGGTAGCGAGATGCTGTGCCACCTACAGAAATAAAATAAAACTGCTTTATTCAGGCAAGGCACTCCAGATGCCATTCCTTTTAGGTACAGAACAAAGAAACACTATCTTCTTAGGTTGACGGTTTTCCTACAGCTTGTAACTAATAGTTCTCAGGGAGTATTAGGTTCGAACTTTGTGGGAGGAAACCACTTGGGTTCTGAATGCTTACACCAGCACTGACTCAGCATTCATGTAGGATCGGATCAGTGACGGATGAAGCTTCAGCTTTCTTTTGTTCTTGATGTCACTTCTGAAGACAACCCTTCCTCGCATTCAGGATGCAAAAAGTTTAGGGAAATTTGTACGCTGGAAACAATCCAAATAAACCACAGATTTCAAAGAGAAACTAAAAGTGCACCACTTTTAAGGCAACTATAATAAAGCTGGACAATCTTTTCTGTTTTTCTTTTGCAGTATGCGAGAGCAATAAGCCACGCAAAAGGTCACTGTAACTCAGGGAGGCCACACCACGGCTACTGAATGAGATCTTAGCAACATCAAAGCAGTGTAGTGAGTGTGGCAATGCACACGGACCTCGCTCTCAAGCCCGTAGTCTTGGACAAGCCTGATGTAGAGTGTGGGGCTCCAATCTTTGCCTCCTTGAAGGAACAGCCCAACAGTCCTACTCGGCCCTGCTTTCAGGTTGTGAATCTTGATCGCTGCATTCACAGTGTCTTCTGCCATAGAACGATACGTCGTCCATTTCCCTCCTACAAAGAAGTTGTTAAGCCATTAAGCTGGCATTCTGAATTAATAATAGCAAAAGTCACCTCTTGGCAAGAAATATGGCAAAATAAAACAAAACGCTGGTTCATTAGAGTGAAAAGAAACAATCCAAATAGGGAGTCAGCCCCCCCATACCTGCTATTGTGATTAGGCCACTCTCACTGACATCCACAACATGATTTCGTGAGATAGATTGTGTGTCTGCAGAGTTGGGATCGGTAACGAGGGGACGAATACCGCTCCATGCTGCCAGGACATCCCCTCTTCTCACTAGCAGAAATCAAAAATATTTCATAAAAGATGAATGTACAGGAAAGCATTCAGCCGAAGTATAAAGGCACAGGTGGGATCAGAGAAAGGAACCTGAAACATGACAAAGAACTATCAGGGTGTCAGTTCTGTGGCATAAAAAAGAATTTGCCTGGGGGAGGAAAGGACTTGAAGATCTGGGCGAAGGTGTCAAAGAGGAAGCCGCGGAAGGCAGTGTCACCAACCCCAATGGGGAAAAAGATTACCACTGAGAGAAAAATAAAATATTTATGAATTGCTACATTTCCTTCTAGAAGAAACCTGACTCTCTCCATAGGAATGATAAAGACCTTCATTAACAAGCCCTGTAGCCAGATGTGCTCTCTCTCCAGTCCACTCAGCCATGAGCATCTACAGCAGGCCCAACTCTGTAAAAGACAGTTGCTAGTCCCAGCCATTTCATTTCACCTCAGAGATCCCCGCTCCCAAAGCTTTGAGGGTTACTCTCCTTAACCAGCTGTCATTAGTAGCTAACTTGTCACAGGTAGACATCTGGTTATGGTGTACCAACATCTGACCTGGTTCCTTCTGGCTTTACTTTTCAAACTGAGTTGTCCCTCAATGGCTGACAATTTCTTTTTTCTGTTCTTTTCTCATCCCTAACCTCTGTAATTGACCCAGGGATGTGTGTATTGGCTCCTTCTGGTAGCTACGTAATACTTGTATTGTAAGGTATGAAAATTCTCTCAAATTCAAGATAATATAAAATTATTTTCTTATCTCTGGCACAATACTATTACCGATACCAAGAAATCAGATAACAGCTGAAAAGCGTTTGTTACTGCTCTAACAATGGCTGAGGGATACAGATCAATGTGTCTACAATGAGGGCAAGAGCACCTGTAATCCTTGCTCAGGAAGCTGACACAAGAGGATTAACACAACTTAGAGGCCAGCCTAGACTACTACATATTATGTTAAGTTTCAGACACACAGCAGCTACATAGATCCTGTTTCAAAAGCAAACTAGTTTTCTGGTAGAGATTAATTCAGCTAAAGTAAATCTACATATTTTAATGTAGTTGATCAAGGGCCAGTCTTAAAATGACTATAATCTCAAAAGGGGGCTATACATCCAACAGCTATAATGCAACAGGGAAGCAAGAACATAATGAGCTGCAGAGCAAGCCCACAGCTTCACAGTTTGGTCAGCTAGAGGCCATGTGAGACCTTATGCTAGGGCTCTGGCCCCAGATCTAGCCCTCTGGTGCTTTTATCCTCTTAAATAGGTGTGATCTTGAGATTTCTGTGGCCTAGGGGTAACCCAGCGTCACCGAGTTCTACAAGTCTTAAAAACTTTCAACATAAATAGTCTAAAGTGCTTTAATCTTTATAAAATGCCTAAATAGGAAATTACTATTATTTTCCATTAGCGTTTACACAGCCCTCAGAGTCAAAAATAAAGCAACCTACCCACTTCCGACGTCACTGTGGTCAGTGAACAGTCCCTCCTGTGCCTGTGAAATTCCTTTGGTAGCCACACTGATCAGGAATCTGGTTTAAACTCTTGACGCTCCATGACTAATGTCTAAAGTATTTTAGAGAAAGTTAAGAGTTTCCAGAATAAATGTAAAACACATGCAAAGCAACTATCTGGCCAATGCTTCGTCTTTTCCACTGTAATGGACACAAAACAACACATATCCGAGGCTGTGCTGTCTGGAACAGAGCCCTGACACTCTCAAGTAGTTCAGTCATGAAAGAGCGTGGAGTGAAAAAGAAGAGAGATTAATCTCATCTCCATCCTTATAAATGAGACTGATCCTGTGGCTGGACATGAAGAAGAGTTCAGAACCAGGAAAGTTCTTTCTACTTCATACCTCAGCACTGGGCTTTTAGCCTGACATTTTCAGCCTGAAGATGTTGTCAATTTGAGAGGGAGTAGGCAAGATGCATAGAAGTGTGGGGGGTGGAGGGTTGGAAATAATGCACCTGCTATGTATAAAATTCTCATAAAATACAATGGAAGCTTCAAAAAGGAGACAATATAGATTAGAAACGACAGAAGTTTTATCAGATGGGTGTTAGAATCAAATTATTGAGAAAATATATTTTAAGAAAAATAAAAATGTATTTAAAATATGAAGTATTCTGTATGGCCTACAGTACTTTCACACTACTAAGCCAGAGTAAGGTCATGCTATCTATCTATCTGTCTATCTATCTACCTACCTACCTACCTATCTACCTATCTATCTATCTATCTATCTATCTATCTATCTATCTATCTA